ACCCATTAATTTCATTTGGTGTCCTCTAGTTCTTCTATTTCCCCCCGCCACCCTCAGCTACAGCCTCACGGCCCTCTCCACACCACTCATGATTTCATATACCTCTATCATATCCCCCCCCAGTCTCCTCTTTTCGAAACTGAAAAGTCCCAGTCGCTTTAGCCTCTCCTCATATGGGACCCGTTCCAAACCCCTAATCATTTTAGTTGCCCTTTTCTGAACCCTTTCCAAAGCCAAAATATCTTTTTTGAGGTGAGGAGACCACATCTGTACACAGTATTCAAGATGTGGGCGTGCCATAGTTTTATACAGGGGCAGTAAGATATTCTGGGTCTTATTTTCTATCCCTTTCTTAATAATTCCTAGCAGAGTGAATACAATCCCCACCGTGCCACAACCCGACAATAACCTGTGGGGAAACCAGGCCTGGGTGCCCACTGCTCTGCCTTGCAGCTGATGGTGCCAGGGCAAACACTCCCCCATCCCCGCCCCCAGACGGGACAGAGCAAGGGAGCAGCTGGCTCCCAGGCTGTGTCAGCTCCTCCCCCAGTGGATGACCCCAGCCAACTGAGCAGCTGGGTTCCACTGGTGGGAGACCCTATAATAAACAAACCACGGTGGGCACCCCTAATGCTCCAAGGAGACCCTCTGATAACACACCAGTGTGTGGAACCCCAGCATTCCCAGGAGACCCCAAACCAGCGTGGGCCACCCCACGCTCTCAGGAGACCCTACAATAATAAACCCCAAATGGCAGGGAATCCCATGTAGGAGGCTGATTTCCACTGGAGGATGGAGGGGGCCCAGCCAGGGGAGGTGGGGAGTCCAGGAGGCTCGTCACGTGGGAGGAACGTGAACCCTTCTCGCCCCCCTGCAGGGCTGCAGAGCGACAGGGACGATCTCAACAGCCTCGCAGACCAGCCAGCACCGGGTGAGTGTGAAGCTGTTTGAGGGGTGGGGGGGGCACATCCCACCCCAGGTGTGCAGTGGGGCAGAGGCGGGGGCTGGGCATTGCCTTGCAGCCAGGCAGGGAGGTCCCCTCTCTGTCTGCACGGGCAGCATTAGCAGCTGGCAGGGCTGCCCCAGGACTGCGTGCTCCCCGGCCCACCCTCACCTGCAGACACCCTGCAGGGCACCCCGGGTGTGCGCCCCCTGCAGTACGTTCCTGGAACACACACGCACGTGACAGCTCCATGAAGACAGACCATTCCACTCCCCCTCCCAGCCCCATGCTGGTCCCAGCCACGCCGAGCCCTGTTAAAGGAACAGGCGCTCCAGCCGGGGGCTGCAGGCTGGGGAGCGGGGGGGGCACCGGCACA